TCGGTCGACTCAACAATGGCAGCAGGAAGGGTTGCGGGGCTGCAGTCCACGGTTAAGGAAGGAACTCGGTCGATGGTGAATAGCCTGGAGTTGGTCGTGCGAGTGGCAGGGGTTCAGCGGTCCGATCAGACAGTGGTCTTGGTCACGGCGTGGCGGGATTGATGGACAGAGGCGGGGCTCAGAGTTGCAGGCGGAGGAGCAGCGGTCGGAAGGGCGCTGCAATTGGTGGCTCACGGCTTGGTTGCTGCACGGAGGGGTTGACTGGTTCTCGACAGAGTGTTGATCGCGGACGTCGGAGGTGCAACGGTGTTCGGGTCATCGTCGGTGCTCTGCTGTTTGCGGTGGAGGGCGTCGGTCACGGGGCCTAGTATCACTCAGAGGCGATGATGGTGATGACGATTGCGACAAGTTAAGAGAGAGGGATGAGGGTGATCGAAACGTGAAAGCAAGGTGCGAAAAGAGAATCTCTTCTCTGGTGACGACGAACGAGCGAGAGGATTAGGGTCTGCGGGATTTTGGGCGAAATCGATTGAAAAAGAAAAGGGTTGTGAAAATGAGGATTTACGCACTATGGGTCGGTCATTAAGGTTCATGGGCCAATAATTAACTTAATGGGTTGAAAAATATAAGCCGAAATGGACCAAAATATAAGTAGCAATTGGGTCAAATTAATTTTCGATTTGGGCCAAAAGAAACAAACTAAAAGGCTATCGAATTGGATACGAAAACGGCTAGCGACAATTCGCTAAATAAAAATAACCGGGCAATATATATATATATATATATATATATATATATATATTGGAAAAAAACATATATATTTATTTAATGCACACAATAATCATTTGTTAATAATAGACACTTAATAACAATTAGGCAATTATTAACAATTTAACAAATAATAATAATAATAATAATAATAATAATAATAATAATAATAATAATAATAATAATAATAATAATAATAATAATAATCCATTCATTCATGAACGAACGTTACAAAAACATATCCTCTCCAACTACAATTTGGATAAAGGCAATATCACAAGAAATAATCAATTATAATATAGATGTAATTTAGATTTGAAAACAACACTTACATAAAAATTGGCAGATACTAAAATTAGAGTCACTACAAAAAAATAGAGTTCTAGTGAAGAATTTTGTTGTCATTATGTTGTCACTATAACTACTGTCATTATATCTACAACAATTGTAGATATAGTGACAATAAATGTAGATATAGCGACAACAACTGTAGATATACTGACAGTAGATATAGTGACAACATAGTGATAACAATTGTAGATATAGTGACAAAAAAATTTATCACTAGAACTCTATTTTTTTGTAGTGAGTACACATTTTTGTAGTTATATATGACAAATATGACTACAAAAAGCATATTCTCTCCAACCTCATATTTGTAGTTATACAAAAATGTGTACACAATATCACATTTTTGTAGTTATATACTAAAATTAGAGTATACATTTTGTATAACTCAGTTTGATTATGGTCGACCATATTTTGCTCATATTCTCGAAATTCATTCTACTTCTAATAACTTTTTACGAGTGCATGTCTGAATAAAATAGCCTATCTACTGTCAAATTGTAACAATCAATTTGAACAATATAACAATCAAGCAGAGTATAGAAGATCTACTATCAACAACCATAAAACACAATATTCGAACCACGACAAGGATTCTTAGCACGCTCAAACGTATGACTACACAAGAAGACAACAATAATCTAGAAAGCAAACATAGATCTACCACTCTGCGATTCGACAAGATTCGAACATAACACACTGCGATTCGACACCAAACATATAAAAATTAGAAAGCAAACATAGATCTACCACATATGTATCAAATAACAAGAAATCCCAACAAAAAACTCAAAAATCATTATCTTTGATCAAAAGTTACATAATAATAAAAAAAATAATAAAGAATAGTGCAGACTAGTATTACCCTTTCTCTGGGTGTTAAAAAAATGGTCAATTTCAAGATCGTCGATTTATCCACTGTGATCGAAGTAAACGTCGATTCAACTTTCAATTTCACAGCTTTATTCAGTGAAATTAGATTAAAGTAGTGAAAGATTGGTACAAAATAAGAAATTTCAGTGATTATTTCCAACACAAACATATAGTAATATTGAAAAATCGGACGAGCTCGATTAATGGAGCATTTTCAGACAACAAAATATCGAGAGAGAGAGAGAGAGAGAAAGGGTTTAGCGGCATAAAACTCGGGCCTGATGAAATAAAACCCTAATAGGGTTTTCTTGCCTTTCTTTTTTTTTTGGTACAGGTACTTTTCGGTTTCCGGATCCACAAGGGAACCGACTAATCCGGAATCGAGCCGGGTAGGACCACAAGGGCGGCAAAGCTCTCTCTCAAGAGTTTTAACACTGCTGCATTCCCAGGGCTCGAACACGAGACCACTGGTTAAGCTGGAAGAGACCCAAGCCATCTCATCCAAACGCTCTTGGCTAGTTTTCTTGCCTTTTATATGTTTGTTTGCATCAATAGAAGTCGTTCGATTATGTTGACTTAATTTCAGTTGTCCAATGCAAAACAATTTTGAGGATTTGAACAATTTCTCAATTTTATATTTGGGCTGAAAATTAAAATAACTTGGTCAACTAGATTATTTATATTTTTGGCCAAACTAAAAAAAAAAAAAAAAAAAAAAAAAAAAAAAAATCACTTGACCCGATACTTTAAGAGCAGATTTGCATATATGTATTATTAAGCCTAATTTCAGAAATTATTAATTCCAATTTCTCAATACATGTGCTAATAATAATTCTCAATTGTACAATAATTAGATTATCTAGTTTACTCATCTGTGTAATTACCTGTATTTAAATTTTTATTTTTTAATAGTTATAATTATTGATTCATTATTATAACTTTATAATTAATAGATTGATAGATGATCTATCTTCTAAATATTCATTTTTTACAAGATTTTGTAGACCTAGACATGGTCAACTGCAGGTTCATGACCCGGCCCGCACCAGCCCGCCGGGTCGGCTGGTCTCAATTGTTGGGCCCGTTACCGGCCCGACAATTCCTATGGGCCCGTTCAAATAAACCGGTCTGCCCCAACAAACCGCCATGTATTTTAAAAAAAATAAAAAAAAAAATAAAAAATAAAAAAGTCGAACTGTCGGAATTTTTTTTAAACAAAAAATAAAAAATAAAAAATAAAAAAGTAACTACGACCCGTCGGGAAAATCAGAACCGGCGGGTCAAAAATGAATAAAAGATGGCCCTTAACTGGCCCTTAAGAAGTTTCGGGTCAGTTTTCATAGCCCGGCCGAGCCGGGTTAGCTCTTGCCACTTCTATGTAGACCATCTCTTATCAGTGAAGCATCATTTATTTCTCAAGAAAATAACATTCGTTTGAGCAATGTTTCATATCAATATCGAAGTGTGGTGCATACTCCTCCAAGTGTACCATTATCAGACATAACTAATGGTAAATATTATAGTAAATTATATTATTACTTAAAAATATTTTATTTATTTATTTAAATGCCTATATTTAATATATTTATTCTTATGTAGTTTTCAAAACATACATTCCCGGCATTGACTTCACTAAAGAAAACATCAGAAGCTATTGGATCAGATGACCTACTTATATTTTTATGCAGTTAAAATATACATGTTTAATTTTTTATAGTGTATTATAAAGTAAACTGATGATCTAATTTACTTGAAAGGCAGGGCTATACTTGCGTCGACATTTGAGAACTTAGGTAATCTATAAATGCATACATGTCGTCGTTGAATTTGACTGAAGGACGCACGTATATAAGAATGTGCTCAACTCCATAGTCCTGAGTTCTTGAATGCTAGAGTGCTCACCGAATCATGAGTTGAATTTGAAGGTCGGAACTCCAGTTATGTTGTTGCGAAAAATGAATCATTCAATGAATATTTGCAATGGTACACGATTGGTTGTCACCAAACTCTCCTATCATGTTCTCGAGTGTAAAATTCTTACTGGCGATCATGCGGGTGATAAAGTTTTGATAACTTGGATGACCATAACTCCTTTTGATGTTAGAGTACTAATCAAATTCCAAAGAAGACAGTTCTTCATTATGGTTTCGTACGCAATGACTACAAACAAGAGTCAAGGTCAATCTTTATCGCATGTTGGCCCATTCTCGAAGAAACCGGTTTTTAATCATGGTCAGTTATATTTCGCTGTCTCCCGGGTTACTAACAGAAAGGGTCTGAAAATTTTCATTTGTGGAGAAGAAGGCTTGAAAGAAAATCAAATAATGTTGTGTATAAAGAGGTGTTTAATAATATATAATTTTATTATACTTTGTGTTTCTCTTTTTTTTTCCCATTGTAATCAACATATTAATTTTAAAAAAAAAATATTTAAAATAAAATTAGAAAAAGGGTTTGAGGAAACAACCCCACTGTGCTACGCACAAGTACTACACTAGTATTAATATATATATTAATATTTATCATTATATATAAAAGAATATTACGTCTATAAATGTTATAAATAATATTGACAATAAATTTTTATATAACATAATATTTGAGTAATATAAACCAAAATAAGTAAAATTATAATAATATATTAAAAATAAATATATATGTTAAAATATTATTTATATTAATATAAACAGATCAACGGTTAAATGCATTGTCAAAATGAAATTTTACAAAAATATTTTAAAAGTTTCGAAATCTCCGTGCATCGAATACAAAGTGCGCGAGTCTGCCACTTAGGCTCAACACGTTTTGAATTAATATACAGGGGTTGGCATGTGGGATGGCCATTCTACAGCTGTCTCATTTGCTGGACTTAGATAAAATGTAGCAAAAAAAAAAAAAGCCAGAGAGAGAGAGAGCACAAATACTCGAGATCCCGCAAAACCTGACTCTACGAAGAAAAAAAATAAAAATAAATATAAAAATAAAAAATCCTAAGCAAGCTTGGAATGTGTTCATGTGGAGCTTATTAGTGGCACCAAGGAACTCGACTCTACATCCTCGATATCTGGAGGGCGTAAACATGGAGGGCTGTAGGCATCTATTGCATTGTGTAAATTAGCGTCCATTAGGTCGGTCTTCTCATCAAAATCATCCCTATCCCTCGCGTCCTACCCAGAAACAAACGTCAGATTCTTTTCACACAAATTGGTAATAGTATAACATTAGCTTAACATGATACATAGTTTATCAAGAACTTGCAACAGAAAAATTTAAATCCAATGGATTTTCAAAAGCTTCACTACAGTAGGAAACAAAATGATTCTACACTACTAGAAAATATGAAAACAGAAACTGTTTACCTTGACAGAGCAGTGGTAAAATGTAGGCAGGAAACGGGCCTTGCAATATTCATTGAAGAGCAAAGTGAAAACGAGGAGAGGTATTGTGGAGATAGAGGCTGCAGGCTTTGATTTCAGCCCGAAAAGACCAATCATTGTGATTTGCATGATGACGATTGCAACCAGAATATAGTGATGAATGTAAGGCCAATATTGACCACACGTTTCATATGTTGTTATGTACACATTTTGAATCTGCAAAAGCAACCAAAAAACACGATAAAATAAAGAATAAATAATCACTTCCAAACCATTCTCTACTTGTGCCTGCAAAGAAAATGAATCTCACTTGCATGAAGCCTGAATATGACAAGTTTCCAGGAAAAAAAATATATATATATATATATATATATATAATAAAATAAAATACGCATGACATAAAATCGAGCAAAGATGGACAACCTGGTTCACAAACACAACATAGCCTAGACAGAAATATCCAACGAGAAATGGGACAAGCAATGGTGCCACAACTGCATAAACCATCCCAATCAAAATGACGAGAGCCACAAAGGGGACAATACGGTAATAAGGCAGCGAGTAGAGGTTAGGTTGTTTATTCTTCCCCCAGTCCCACATGTGTGACTTCATTTTGTCCCACATAAGCAGCCCTGGCTGAAGAATCTCCAGTGAAAACCCAGACAGTCCATTCGTCAAGATGTACGTCATGAAAAAATCGGCCTAAAATACGAAATGACAAAATCTATTAGATAGGTCAAGTAAAAAGTTGTTATGAGACTTCATATGAGTAACGAGCGTGAACTGACTTGGGCAGAAGCTGCACTAGCAAGACGGCCCGGAAAATCCCTTGGGTGGCTGAATGATTCCCCAATTTGATCGAGTAGAGATCCTGATAACAAGGACAAGAAGAAGACGTTCCCGACTAGGAAGTAAAATACCATGTTGCAGGCCTTTATATCCTTTCGGCTCTTTGAGACATAACCAGCTAATTTCGCCATTTCTATCATAGCAAACGGAACAAGGTAGACGAAACCGTTGAGAATGACGCTGGGGAGGTATCCCGTCACAATAGACTGTAACCCGGGTCTAAAAAAACAGAGAAAGTGTTGGATACGAAAGATTGAATTAAAGACTGAGATGAACAAGTCTTACATTAACTGCACAGCCATGGCAGGAGGAAACCACTTCTTCAGCCGATCAAATTTTGCGATTCCCTGGACAGCTGTGACAGGTACTGCAAAGAAGACCGTGAGCAGTGTTACAGCCACATAGACACCAAATTTGTAAAGAGGTAAGTACTTGCATGGAACTGCAAGATTTCCCCAAATTACATCTCTTGCTTCTGGTGCCATTTCTGTTATCCATACAAGTGGGTTCGAGATCTGCTGAGACTCGGCTGCTAAAGCGGCGCCCCACCGTGATTTGAATGTAACAAAAGCTACAGGCAACTCCTGTATACAACTGTAGAACTGAGAACAAGTAACAATTGCGTACAACATGATATTATGTACTGCTGCCGAAAACATTATTTGATAAAAGGTTTAATTATGTCTAATGAGGAATTTCTTTTATATGTATAAGGTCCATTACTTTATATAGAAAGTAACATGTCAACAACCTCTTCTTCCAGACATTTGAAGAACTATTCTTGCAGCCCTTTTAATTGTAAACTCAATAGGGATAAATGCTTTACTTGACACTAATTTGACATTTGGCAATAGAGATATAGTTATACTTGCTAAAAAGATCATAAAAAAAGTATGACAATGAAAGTAACCACTCTAAGATTAACTTCACCTTTGCTTGAAGCTGTTTTTTACTCTGTGTATGCTGTATTCTACGAACAAGGTCCTCAAGTATTTCCTTCAGTTTCTCTACCTGTACATCGTCGTTCCGTGATTGATGGAAATTCCTGTTAAGCTTTCCAAGTGAATAATTCCTCAACTTCTCAATTTTTGTTTTAACGGACTTCGCCTCGGCCTGTATGATCAGAAAAAACATATTAAACAATCAAAATCTAATATTGAAAAAAGAATTCAGTGTAAACTTACGAATAATTTCTCGAGATCCTTCCCGTCGTATAGGATCTGATAAGACTGATATGAATGAGGATGGTATTTCGAGAAAAAATGATCTACAGAGCAATCACGGGCTTTGTGTTCATCACATAATGGGATTTCTCGGACTAAAACAGTGAATTGATTAGGCTGATGCCTCAAGATATGAAGTTGATGAAGCCTCTTGATCAAAATATCATCATATTCCTGGGCAAGACCAAGTAAACAAGGTCACCTGGTGAATTACAATCAGAACATGCGTTTGCTAAATTTGTTTGTCATCACTATATTATGTTAAATGCA